CGCCTACAAACGGCACAAGGATGCCCGAAGAAAGCAGATGCAGCTGGCCTTCGCCGCAGTGAACGTGTGGAGGAAGAACCTGCAGGTAGGGCGGCCACCCTCCGAGGCCTGGCGTCCAGGGCTCGGCCTGGCCACGGCCCTCCTCCATCCCTGCAGGCTGTGGCACTGGCTCTGGCTCCAGTGGGCAGGACTGGAGCTAGGAGCCATGGCCAGGGGCAGTGGTGAGTGCTCCCAGGGCACAGGGGCAGCACTGGCAGGGGCTGCCTGCAGGTGGCCACATACTGCCAAGCTGGCTGAGGGAGGCCATGCACCCTACTCCAAGCCTCTGCCTGACCCCTCTGTCTCCAGTCGCCTGCCAGCACCCATTCCCTAGGAAGGCAAGCAGGCAGGGTAAGACGGGCCACCTGTGTTAGCGCGTGAGTTCCAGGTGCATTGGGCCTCCGGCGCCCAAGCCCCCTCCACACACTTAAGGGACCCCCTTTCCTGCTGTGTCCTTCTGCTCCGTGACTGCAACCTGAATGGGGCTGGTCCACTCCTGCCTGGTGTCCCAGGCTGAATTCAGGGGACCTGCTGACAATAGGGGCAAGGCTGCATGTGGGACGGCCCACCATGGCCCACCTGAGACGGGGCTTGGGACTGGGTGGGCAAGGGGTCCGTGTAGGTCTGAGCCTGGTGGCCCTGGCTGCTACGCTCACTCATCTCTTCTCTTTCTCTGGGTGCCTTCTGGAGCTGTCCTGGGGTGACGCTGGCATTGAGGGCTGTGGGTGGGGCTGCTGGAGCCCCACACCTCTCATCTATCCCATTCTTGCTCTTGGCCCCACAGGTCCCCTGGGGACCTAGCCACTGCTCTTGCTGGCAGGCACAGGGCCATGCTGGCCATCAGACACAAGGCCAACATCCTGGGAGCTGCCTCTGTCTATCACTCCATCTCGACACCTGCCTTGGGCACTTGGCCCCTTCCTCAATCTTGATGTGTGCCCCTTGGGGTCTGCAGCTTCTGAACAGAAGGGCTGGTGTGGCCTGAGCAGCTCCTCTAGTCCTCAGGACGCCTGTAAGCCAGGGCCGCCCGGGACCCAGGGAGCCAGGCGGACCGCCCAGGAAGAAAGCCAGCTGGGACCCTCAAGCCCAGCCCCATACAAGCAAGTTCTGGCCCGAGACCTCGGGCAGGAGAAGAGGCCACCCTCGAAAGTCCATCCATTGTTTGTCCAGCACAGAGAAGCAGGCAGGAGTGAGGGCCCAAGTGGCCAGCCAGGCCGGGCAGCGGCCCCCGAGGAGCAGGCGAGGGCAGGTGTGGCCACCACCCTTAGCCATCTAATCACTTATACATATTCATTTTAGGATAGAAAGAGTGGTAGAGCAGAGCCTGACCCTAAAAAGAAAGCCACATTTAGGGCTATCACCTCCACCCTGGCATCCAGCTTCAAGAGACGTAGGTCCTCCAAAGACACGGTAAGGGGGAGAGCACCCCAGTCCCACGTCGCCAACTCCTCCCTCGCCCCATGTCTGTCTCCCTCTCCTTCACCATCCCACCCTTGCTCCCACCGCCAGCCCTGGGCCGTCTGTGCCTCTGCCCCCGTCAGCCCCGCACCCCAAGTCAAGTCAGCCCTCTGCCCCCACGCGGGCACTGTCCTTCGGGGCTCCTCAAGCCTCTCCCCACCCTCGCTGTCCTCAGCTTTCCCCCTGTGTCTCCACGTTAGTCTGCCCACCCCTCTGCCCATGCCATGACCCACACACCATCCTGAAGCCGTCTCATGTTGTTGGTCAGTCAGTCAGCCTCACCACCCCGGCTGCGCCCAGCCGAGAGCTCAGAACATCATGTCCCAGGTTTCCCTGCCAGGAGGCCACACCACTTCTTTGTGACATCCCTGTTTCTATCGCCTCCCTCAGAGGGCCCTGCCACCCTCACTCCTGCCCTGCAGGGCTCTGGAGGGGGTGGCTGTGATGTCCCCAGACACCTGTCTCACCTGTCTCACCAGAGCCATGCCTGTCGCACCCTCCATGTGGTCTCTGTGTGGGCCGGGGCTGGGGGCCGGGCCTGGGCCAAGCTGGGTGGATGGCTGGGGGCCGGTGTTGGAACTGGCCCCGGCCCAGGGGACTGTCAGGTGGGGAATGGGGTGGGACCAGAGGGTGGCTTGGCCCTGAGCTGAACAGGACACTGCTGGTGAGGCCGCAGCCCCCAGAGGGTCTGAGAGCAGGTAGGGGTAGCCCCACAGCCCTGACCTACAGAGCCCAGGATGATACTGAGGTTCCCAGATGGAGACTCCGGAAGGGGATGCTGATAGGCACCTCTGTTCTGACCCCCAGGAATCTCACAGGGCCACTGTCAGAACCAGGCCTTCTGCCTTTTGAACCAAAACTCCTGTCTCCTGCCTTGGGCAGCTTGTCATTGCACTGGAAATGCACTCAGAAAGAAAAAGGGCCACAGCCAGGTGTGGTGGAGCACACCTGTAATCCGGGTGACTCGGGAGTCTGAAGCAGGAGGATCACAAGTTTGAGGCCAACCTCAACAATTTATGGAGGCCCTAGGCAACTTAGTTTAATAAAAAAAAAAATCAAAGTACAAGGGCTGGGGATGTAGCTCAGCAGTAAAGCACCTCTGGGTTCAAATTGCAGTACAAAGAAAAGAAAAAGGTCCCCAAAGGGACCCTGCCTTACTAGAGGTACCCTGTCCCAGGGAGCCCAGAGGGTCAGCATTGCCCTGCAGCCCAGGGGCCAATTTGACCTCCAGTTCACAGGAAGGCCCTCTTACCCATGGGCAGCATCACCCAAAGGGGTTTTATACCCTGGAGAGGAATTGGGATTTTCAGCTCCTACCCTTATACAGGAAGTGGGGCAGACCTCCAGGACACAGATAGGACTTGGCCCAGAGCAGCCCAAGTCCCAGGGCGAAGTCACCAGGATGCCCCAAGAAGGCCTGTGACGACTGGCTGCTCAGTTCCCTGAGGCAGGGGCTGGGCACAGAGAGGACGCATGCATAGTGAGGGTCCCAGGGCTGTGAGCAGCTGGAGGTTCCAGCCACTGGTGGAAGCACAGCCCTCAGGGCTGCCTAGGCCAGGGAATGGGGGCAGGACCTATGCTTCAAGGTCTGAGCCAGGGTCCCCACTAGAGGGTGCTGTGAAGTGGGAGGGAGAGGACTATGGGTAGGGGTAATCAGGGAGCAGGATGTCTGCTTGCAGACAGGAGAAACAGCACTTCTTGGGCAAGATGGCCAAAGGGGGGGGACACAGAAGTCATGCAGGTGATGGGCCACTTTCAGAGGGTGGCACCGAGTCCCAGCGCCAACGCCTGGAGCTGGCCCAAATACAGCTCAAAGCCCTGCATAGTACCTTTCTGGGGACATACTCCTAGTGGAATCCTTGCCTGATCCTGGGCACCAGGGACCGCCCTCTGGGGCCAGCCCTGGTGCCAGGTGGCATCTGGGGCTGGTCCCCTCCTGCAGTGTTGACTACGGGGCACTGCCCACTGGGATCTGGGCGGGGTCGGGCAGCCCAGCTCCCACCCTGTCTCTGGAGCTGGGCGCCTGTTCAGAGGGAGGCCTGGGTGGGGGCTCCTGTGGGTGGGTGGGGTCGGTCCAGCTGCTGAGATCCTCTGCCCCTGTCCTGTGGCCGTCCGGGCCAGAGTGGCACTGGGCGCTCAGGGCTGGGATCCCTGGCGGCCAGGGGCCGGCGGGTATTGATTGTTGGTTCTTATTTATAGAGCACCGGGGGTGGACGCGGCGCTTTGCAAAACCAAAAAGACACAGTGCTGCCGCGACGCGCTATTGAGAGGGAGGAGGGCCAGCTGCAGCTGTGTTCCCGTCATAGGGAGAGCTGAGACGCCCCGCCCGCCCTCCTCTGCCCCTCCCCCGCAGACAGACAGACGCGGGACAGCGGCCGGCCACGCAGAGCCCCGGAACACGACGGGGTCGGGGGAGGAGCACCCCCAGCCTCCCCCAGGCCGCGCCTGCCCGCCCGCCGGTCGGCCGGCTGGCCGGTCTACCCTGTCCCGGCCCCGCGCGCGTCCCTGGCATCAGGGCTAACGGCCGCCTTGTCTGTGTATTTCTATTTTGCAGCAGTACCATCCCACTGATATCACGGGCCCGCTCAACCTCTCAGATCCCTCGGTCAGCACCGTGGTGTGAGGCCCCCGGAGGCGCCCACCTGCCCAGTTAGCCCGGCCAAGGACACTGATGAGTCCTGCTGCTCGGGAAGGCCTGAGGGAAGCCCACCCGCCCCAGAGACTGCCCACCTGGGCCTCCCGTCCGTCCGCCCGCCCTGCTGCCTGGCGGGCAGCCCCTGCTGGATCAAGGTGCGGACTGGAGCGGCTGAGGACAGGCCGAGCTGAGCCGGCTGGGCAGGGCCACAGGGCGCTCCGGCAGAGGCAGGGATCTGCCCTGGGGGCTCTGAGCATTGGGGCGAGGGGCCTAAGTGGCCCCAGGCAGAGGGGCTTGGGGCAGAGATGGCAGCCCCATCCTTACCCCCAGTCACCACCCTAAGCCACAGGGGGGCCCATGGCCCCAGCTGGCTGAGTCTCCCCTCCTCCAGCTTCTGCTCTCTGCAGCCTAACTCCACCCCTCTCCTCTTTTTGCTGCACCTCCCCACACACCCCTCCCCCCCCACCCGACCCCCTTCGCTGGGCTGGCCCTGCCCTTCCCCACAATTATCCCTGACTCCCCAGCTGGCAGCGTCACCCAGGGACCTTTGGGGCACCCCGCTGCCTCGGGCCTCCTTCAGACTCAGGGTTGAGCCTTCTGTTGACCTGCAGCCCACGGTGGGCCCCAGATGCTGGCTCGTACCTAACTGCTCCGCACCTAGGGCACAGGGAGCGCCACCAGCCTGCCCTCCCCTTCGCTTCGGGTGTGTCACGCGCCTGCCACCATGTACAGACCAGCCTTCCCAGTGTCTGAGCGCGTGTCTTCCCTGTGTGGCCCGTGCGCAGTTGCGCGCTGCCCCTCTGCCCCAGGGGCCCCGGTGTGCCCCTCGCCGTGTGCAGTGGTGATGCCTAAAGGAATGTCACGAAACTTTCGGTCTGTGTCGCTTGTTTGTCACCAGCAGGGTGTGAAGGAAGGACACGGGGTTGGGCAGTTTCGAGGGCTCCGGGCAGTGTGGGAGCGCCTGGGGCAACAGCTGCGCCCTCAGGCTTGGGCAGATGCAGCGGTGGGGCTCACAGGGTTTTCGGGGGAGGCAGTGCCGTCGGGGGCGGGATCCGGAGGTCTCCTAGGCGGGCGGCGGGCGGCGGTACGGCAGCGGCGGCGGCGTGCACGGCAGGCGGTGAGCACGGAGCCCAGCGCCAGGCAGGTGGCCAGGCTGGCGAGGAAGGAGACAGGGCCAAGTGCGTAGACCACCGCCAGGTCCCGCGCCGCTAGTGGCTGCGCGCAGTGTCTGAAGGCGGCGTCGGGAAAGGCGGTCAGGGGGCTGAGCGTCTGGCGTCCTGGTGATACGCAAAGCAGGGTTTCGGCTTCTGCGGGATACAGGCGCGGCGTCAGGTGGGCGGCAGCCACAACCCGGCCCTGCGTGATACGGCCTGAGCCCCGGGCGGACAGCTCACCTGACGCCGGCCGTGGGTGCTGACGAAGCCAGGCGCAGAGCGAGCGCAGCGCGCAGCCGCAGGCCCACGGATTACCGCGCAGGCGCAACGCATCGAGAGCTGGCAGGCCGGCCAGCAGGTCATGCGGGATCGCCGTAAGCGCGTTGTCCTGCAGGCTGAGCGCGCGCAGCAGAGGGAGCGCGCCCAGCGCCGCTGGCTCTAGGAGCGCTAACCGGTTGCCGGCCAGCGAGAGGGAACGCAGCGCCCGTAGGGGCGCGAAGGTGCCGGGCGCCAGCGCTTCCAGCTGATTGTCGCTCAGGTCCAGCCGCTGCAGCACACTCAGGCCCCAGAAAGCCCGTGCGTGCACCGAGCGCAGCCCGTTCTCGCGCAGGTCCAGGTACAGCAGAGCGCCCGCGCCCGCGAAGGCTCCCGGAGGCAGCACACGCACGCGGTTGTGATCCAGCAGCAGCGTGCGCACGCGCCGGCTCAGGCCCGCCGGCACCGCGACTAGCACGAGTGCTGAGCAGTTGGCCTGGCCGCCGGGCGCGCAGGCGCACGCCTTGGGGCAGTCGGGAGCGTCCGGGGTCCCGCGGGTGGCGGCCCCAGTGGACACTTGGGCCCAGATTGGCCGCATCGGCGGCGGCGGCAGCAGCAACAGCAACAGCAGCAGGGACAGTAGCGGCGGAGGCCGCGAGATAAAAGAGGAGCCCCGCATGGGGGCAGCTCCAGAACCCAAGGTGGGGGCCCTGCTATCTGTGCGTCCTTGGAGCCCGGGCGTCCCAGAAGCTCGTCCTTTTGGCTCCTACACAAATGTTAACTGTCCGGCCCGATCACTGGCAGTTCTTGTCCCAAGGCTGATCCCGCGCCTGGGGCGGGGGCCGGGCACAGAGCCAGCGCCTGGCATTGCCAGCCACCTGTCCCAGAGCTCCAGGGTCTTGGCTCTGCGCCGGCCGCAGCACTAAGGAGACCACCGGACGCCCAGCTGTGGACTGAGCAGGACCACACCTACTCGCACCCACCAAACGCGCTAAATGGCAGAACCCAGTGCATCCTGCTCCACTCCGTGTCCGCTCCATTCTGGCTCAGCAAAAAGTGCCCCATGTAGAGAATGAGAAGTCCCCCGCCCCACCTCTGTGATGGATGAGTGGGCAGGGCAGGAGCACATGATAGGGCCTTGAGCTCAGGGGACAAACTTTGAGGGGGAAGAGGACTGCACACCAGAGGCAGGGGAGGTGGTGCAGGAGGGGAGTGGGTGCCTCCACTCCTTAGAACCTCAAGGGGGCACTGTGAGTGGCGAGGGGCACCAGCAGGAATCCTGCCTCAGAAGCAGCTCTCTTTAGAGTCTAGGGGTTTTCTTGGGTTGACAGGGGCCCAGGGTGGGAAGAAGCAGCAGGAAGCTTCAGGGAGGGGGCTGGGCTGGCCAGCTGTGCCAGAAGGTGGAAGCACCAGGCGGGGTGGTTCCCTGCCCCATAACCGAATGCATACATACCACAGAGCAGTCTCCAGGGACTTTGGAGCTTGCAAGGAGGACAGCACACAACCACTAAATAATGTTTAATTCCCCTGCCCAATTGCCCTCCACCCTATTCAGGGGGTGGGGGTGGGGGCGGCTCCTCTAGAGTAGCCTCCATGGGGATGGTCATGAGGCCATGGTCCTCCAGTGATGGCATCATGGAAACCTCCAGTTCAGGGTCCATAAGGTGGGACTCCACGTGCACTGCATGCAGGTCCATGCGATCTTCCTGGACCCCGAAGTGCCCCACCAACCTGCATGATGCAGGTCCAGTCAGCAGGGGCTGGCGGGGCCTTGGCCACCCTGGGAAGGCCAGCCCTTGGAGCAGTGCTCTGTGTCCCTGTGACTGCACTTCCAGTGAGGCACAGGTCACCCCTGGGGCCCTCCTGCGGCACTCACCTGTTGTCCACATGTCTGGTGCTTGGTTCACTGTAGGGATGAAGGTAAGCATGAATACTGCAGCGGTGCGCTGGCCCCTCCCAGGCACACTCCGCCAGGGAGCACCATTCCCAGACCCTCATGACACCCTACCCAAGGGGTGGAGGCCCTGGAGGCTTGGCCTCACTCCTATTGCTCCCAAGCCTGGGGCTCACGCACCCCTTGGCTCGAAGGACTCCAAGTGCCACAACCACGAGGGCGCAGAAGCAGCTAGCGCTGACTCCTGCCAGCACCACAATGAGAGCGATGAGGGCCTCGCGGCTGAGGCCCAGGCTGCAGTCACAGTAGGTTCCAGCTGCAGAGACAGGGCCACAGGGCAGGGCCAGTCACCTGCCTGCAGGGGACTTCTAACCCACCCTCACCCAGAGGCCACCAGAAGGACATAGGCAGGTTGGCCCTGCCTGCAAAAGGGAGGGGCTATGGCTGGGGGCCAAAGGCAGGAGGAGGCACCTGCAGCAGGGATGAGCAAAAGGGACAGACATATCAGGCCCAGGGGGCTGCCAGCCAGGCAGCAGTCAGGTTGGGGACAGGGGGCCATGTCCAGCCCCCAGCCCCACGGCACACCTGTGGACGGAACTTGTCGGAAGGCTCTGACCTCACAGTGGGGCTGTGAGGCAGGGAAGGTGGGGGCAGGGCCTCAGCATCCAAGCTGGCACCGGGATTCAAGGAGTCTTGGTATGGGGCAGGTAGGGAGGAGCCCTGGCCAGATCAGAGGCAGGCAATGGTGGGGCTGGGGCCTTGGTGGTACCAACCGAGCTGCACAGTGAAGGGGGGTGTGGTCTGATGTCAGCCTCTGGTGTTCAGGGGCCTTGGTTCCTTTTGTCAACACAAGGACTGCAGGGCTGGGTGGGCCTGAGCCCTAGGCAGCTGCAGGTCACTGCTGCACAGGGATGGGGCAGGAAGGGGCCAAGGAGGACTGCCTTCATCTGCCTTTATTGGCTGTTCAGGGAGGGTTGGGCCTAAACTGCCAGCAAAGCCAGGTCAGGAGGGCTGCTGGTTCCTCCAAGGGATCCCCAATCACCCAGAAGAGGTTGACAGGGGGCCCTAGCCACACCTGCCCAAGCAGGACCTCAGGCCATGATTCCCTCTGGGGGCAAGTGGTCAAAAATGGTTGCAAGTCTAAATGTCACTGAAGTTAGAGACTGCTGCCTAGGTGTCTATTCCCTCTGAGACCAGGCAGTCACTGCTCAAGGCAGCTTGTCACCTTGGGCTGGCATTGTTAAACCTCCCCCTCCTCACTGAACCTGTGGTTCCAAGGTGGGATGCGGAATAGCCCCACCCTGCCACCACACCCCACCCCTCCCCTAAGGACCTGCCAAGCAAACCACAAGACACCAAAGAGGAAATGCCCGAACTGTGGTTGACCAGGGTGGGGCCTCCTACCAGGTGGGCCCCACAGGGATCAGGGGAAGGGCACAGCCTGACTCCATGGCTCTGATCACTGGGGGTCCAGTCTGACTGCCGGTAAGATGCTCTCCTTTTGGGTCAGCACAGCACAGGTCAGCAGCTCCTGGTGAGGCCGTGACCCACAACTCTCAGAGATCTCCAGGACACACACTGGAGATAAATGCAAAGGCACACAAGAGCAGGGGCGTGCCAGAGGCCAAGGCTGGCACAGCCACCCTGCCAGGCCAGCCTAACAGGTTTGCATCCTGGTTACACGCCCCCCCCCCCGGGGGGGGCAAGTGGTGACCAGGGACAGCAGGGCCCAGGGAGGGCCACCTGGTGGAGAAAATGGTGGGTGTCACAGCTTTCAGGTGTCTGCTTCCACCAGAACTCATGTAGTGGCAATGACACAAGGGCAGTCGTGGAGTGGAGGGGAGCAGGTAGGGGAACCCAAGAGAGCAGACCACTCATGCTGTGGCCAAGCCTGTGGGGCATTGGGAATCCTCACACCATTGCTGAGACTGTCTAGCTTGTACTGCTTCCTGCTCCAATGCTCTAGAATAAGAGGGTGAGGGAAGTCCCATTCAGGACCCCAATGCAGAATAGGCCACAGCTGGAACTGTGGGAAGGGTAGCTCTGCACCCCAGGACAGTGGACATGAGGGGTCCAGGAAGGGTGTCTGGAACAGTGGCAGCGACAGAGCTGAAGCTGGGTGTGGCTCATGGTCTGGGCATGCACCCTGGGCAGGAGCAGAACAGAGGCAATGGTTCCAAAGGGCCTTTGTCACCTGAGGACAGGCCTTGAGACAGAGCACTGCCTGCCTGGGAACAGCAGCTCTGGGGCTGGGACACCCTGCTCAGTTTGGAAGTGTCTCAGGCCAGCCTAGACCCAAGGGGTGAGGACAGTGCTGGGACCTCTCCCTACCTGGCCTCTTGGGCAGAGACTGCCAAGAGTGGCTGGTCCCTGATGTGAGGGGAAGGAGAGGGCTGGCCCATGGTGCTTTCCTTTCCCTGTGCCTGGCCCATACTTGGGACCTCAGGTTTGGGGGACATGGAAGTAACTACCTGAGAACACATTCACTCATGAGCTCTAAGCACAGTGGCCATACCACTCCAGTGTGGGGCAGGTGGACAAATGGCTGATCTCAGGCCACTAGGTTGTGTCCTCATGCAGCCCTTCAAAGCTGGAGTGCACAGACTTCTTCAGGCCACCTTGCAATTCAGGTTCTACAGAGTTTCCAAGCCCCAGCAACACCAGCTGCAGAGCCAGACAGACTGCAGGCTGGGGGCCCCAAGGGCTCCTTCCAAAGGCCGGTGGAGAGGGAGGCTGAGGTGTGGCAGGTGGCTGGCTGCAAAGCAGGGCACTCCTAGGCAGCCCGTCCTCGCTCACTCCTGGCCTCACCTATTGCTGGGCTCTAGGGCCAAGGTGGAGTGGCCAATCCTGAGGGAAAATCAGGACATGTCCATGGGTTCACAAAGCCAGCAGGACACTGAAGGATAAGAACTGACCTACTTTAATCTGCATTTGGAGGGGGTGGGGCTGGAAGGAGCTGGGCAGGAGCAGAAGCCCTATTCATCCTGGGGTCATACTCAGGTGGGGGGTTGTCCCAAGCCTGGGCCTGGCAGGCAGCATCAGCTGCAGCTCTTGGGCAGGCGGTAGACGCCGGCCGAGTAGATGAGCTGCTGGTCACGCACTTTCTTCTGCAGGTAGCCCTGGAGCTCCTGCAGGTCAATCTCTGCCAGTGCGGGGCCGGTCATCACAAACATCCGCAGCATGCTGTAGATGCGCTCCAGCGACAGGCTCTCCAGGTTGGTCAGCATGGCCTGGATGTAAGTCCAGAAGAGCTGGGGACAGCAGCAAGGTGGTCAGTTGGCCTGCCCACTGGGACTGTACCGCTCCTCCCCAAGCCCACCAAAGGCACACACCAGCAGTTCCTCCTCTTTCTGGTCAGCCTGGGAGGCCATGCCTGAGTCACTCTCCTCGTCACTGTCTATGAGCACCATGCTGTCACGGTCCTGAGGTCGCTCCTCCTCGATGACAGAGAAGGTGCCAGGCGGCTCCTCGCGCAGCACACCCTGCTGCAGCCACACGGACATGCGCCGCCGCAGCAGTGCCACAGGCATCTTCACCACCTTGCTCAGCTGCTCCAAGGTCCAGACGGCTGTGCACAGTCACAGGCATGCTGGCATGCATCCTGACAGCCCAGCACGGCCTCCCAGAGGTCAGCGGGACCCTCAGCAAAGGGAAAGAGTCATTGCCCCATGGCCCAGGACTGCCCCCACTGGTCAAAGTGCCGCACCCCATGGCTGGTTATGACAAGAGCAATGCCTGGCACTGGCCCCAGGGTGGCAGAGCCAGGGCAGACTGTTGGGACCTGTGGGCTCACCTTGATCCTGGAAGTACAGCAAGACTACTGCCTGCACGGGGGTTACTGCCACAGATAGGGTGCGGTCAGCCAACTCTACATCCATGGTCACCAGGCCCAGGGTGTGTTTCCAGCTAAGGGTTCGCATGGCCTGAGGACAGAGGTCAGCATGCACAGCCTGTAGTCCTGACCAGGCCATAGAACGAGGCTCAGACTAATGGGCCATGCCACCTAGCACATGTGAGAAAGGGGGTCCCTGCCCACACCACTGCTAGCCCTGGCAGGGAGGTGGTCAGCAAGAACAGACTCCTGAGTTCCAGTTTCTAGCTCCTCACCTACCATAACGTAAGAGCAGGGACCACTGTTATAAGTGACATTGTGCCACCTCAGGACAAAAGTCCACACCCATCCTCTCAGGACCTTAGAATGCACCCTTCCCTGGCTGGAGTCGGCACCAAGGAGAACCTTTAAGAGGAGGTCATGTTAAAGTCAAAGGGAGGATAAGGTCAGGACAGGCACACAGGAGGCAGTGCCTGTAGTGATGTGGCCACAAGCCAGGAAACATCAAGGACTACAGGCAGACACCAGAAGCAGGGGGTGACTAGGAAGGACACATTCCTACAGGTGCCAGAAAGCATGACCCTGCCACTGCCTCGATACTGGATTTCGTCTCCAGAACTGAGACAATATATTTCTGTTGTTTTAAGCACTCAGTTTGTGATACTTTTATAGCAGTCACAGAAATGGATCAACTTTGGTACCAGGAAGGGGTGCTGCTGCATGTAACAAATACCTGAAAACAGAAAAGGCTTTGGAATTGGGCCATGGGCAGAGACTGGAAGAGCGGTGGAGTGATGCAGGTAAGAGCCAGGATGCCTTAAAGGTACAAGTGGATAAGAATGATGTTGGTGAAGGCTCAGGAAGGAGCGCTGTGGTTCCTTGGAGAACACAAACGTCAAGAAGGGAAAACTAGTAGAAATGGAGACCTTAGAAGGTGCTTCTGAGCTGGGCACAGTGGTGCATGCCTTAGATCTCAGTGACTTGGGAGGCTGAAGTGGGAGGATTTGAGTCTGAGGCCAGCTTGGGCAACTCAGTGTGACCTAATCTCAAAATAAAAATCCTTTCAAAAAGTGCTTCTGGTGAAGTTTCAGGTGGAAATGAGAAACGTGTTATTGGCAACTGCAGCAAAAATGGCAGAAAACTTGGCTAAACTGTTCTGCTCTGTGATGATAAGTTGGTACACGCCTGAGACTCCCCAGCAGTGTGTGGGAGTGCAGCCTGGTTACTCCTTGTTGCTTACTGCAAAATGCACAGGTAGAGGAATAAACTGAGGAAGCAGCTGTCAGGAAAGGGGAAGCAGTACTTGATGACCCGTAGCTCTGAAGACAGGACCAGGGTATGGTGGGACAAGTGTATACTGAAGTCAGGTGTGACTTGTGGGTTGACTGGCCACTGTGGCAGATCAGGAGCAGAAGGGCACTCAGGAAGGTCTGTGTATCATGGAGAACATGGTGCTTAAGAACCGGACACCAGCAGAAATGCTACAAGCCAGACTGAAACCAACACAAAAGGAAGGGCCACCAGGACGACCAGTCAGATCTGCAATTGCTGGGGTGGGCTGCCCTGTAAGCCAAGAGGACAGAGTAGCAGGCGGAGTACCAGGCTTCGAGATTCCCTGCAACCCTTGCTGGGTTTCACTCCTTTGGGACTCATGACCCTTCTCTCGAATTTCTCCCGTTGGGAATATCTACCCTAGGCTTGTCTCACCAATGTATTCTGGAACCAGGTAACCTCATTTCACAGCTGGACAGGGAATCTGCCCCAGACAGATCAGACTCCAAGTCACAATTACATCTCCTGAGATTTACATGCTGAGATTTGGGACTTTGTGTTCACATACAAGAGAACACACTTAAGAGTTGATGCTAAAGAGTCATGATTTTTTAGAGATGTTAAGAGAAGCATGCATAAGAGACCTGAATTTGGAGGACCATAGAGCAGACTGTGATGGATTGATCTGTGCCCTGCCCCACATTAAGAGATGTTAAAGTTCTAAATCCCAGAGATACGTGGGAGAAACACAGCACCCCAAGTTCTCTTGGGGCCTTGGGTTAGGAGGGAAGGAACCGTCCCTAGAACCTCAGAAGGGAGTGTGGCCCTATGACATTTCGCTTGTGATCCCTTAATGTTTCTGTTCTCAGAGACCCTAGTCTGTGGCACTTTGTTATGACAGCCCCAGAACACTGGTTCAGCTGCTCTTGGGACCAAGTACTGCTCTGAGTCCTTCTGGGACTCTTGCAGCCCTAGGGACAAGCACCAAGGAACCCTACTTTACAGACAGAAATGGGAGCAGAGCCAGTGGCTTGCCATGTTGCAGCCAACAGAGCCCTCCCAGCTCTGGCTCCAAGCAGGACCTTCCCAAGTGCCACAGCAGGACAGACATGGCAAGACACAGGTGTAAACAATGGGTCACACAGCCACACACATCCATCAAGATCCTCATCCAGGAGCTCTTCTGG